GAGCGTCGTGTGCATAGAATATTGAATGTAGTGGTAGATCCCAACATGTGAGCTGAGCGTCGTGTGCATAGAATATTGAATGTAGTGGTAGATCCTAACATGTGAGCTGAGCGTCGTGTGCATAGAATATTGAATGTAGTGGTAGATCCTAACATGTGAGCTGATTGTCGTGTACATAGAATATTGAATGTAGTGGTAGATCCCAACATGTGAGCTGAGCGTTGTGTGCATAAAATATCGAATGTAGTAGCAGATCCCAATATGTGAGCTGAGCGTCGTGTGCATAGAATATTGAATGTAGTGGTAGTGCGTGTGAGCGAAAAGTGTCCCCAATTAGTTCGAAAGCGCTAGAAAGACTAGACACTTAAATAAAAATAGAAAAATATGGGAAAGCGATTTATTCACCCACCCACGATCTATCCCAGCCAGCCAGCCAGCCAGCCACATACCTTTCTTATCCAAGACAAGGATGTCATCTCGRAGCAGATACGGTTTTCTTTTCCATTCGGTCACCAGTGGATTCCCCTGAGCAGTACACACAAGCCGCGTCCCATTCTTTTCTTCTTTCTTTTCAGGGAAAAATTGGGGCTGGACTAAAGAAAGATAACGATCATTCTGCTTGTAAGTAATGTTGGACTGTTTTCAATATGAGCGGCCGCGTTGTGTCGGCTATACAGACACAAGCGACATGAGTGAAAAACGTCTGCGCATGCTCTAAATCCGTATGCAAATTAGTCAAAACATATGTAAATTGGACTTTCAAACATGCCTGATTAATTTGACTTCACAAAATACCAAACCTTAGTGTCCATGCTTGAAACTTAAGGCTAATTCTTTCATATTGTGTTTGTTAATACAGTATCTTGGTCTGACAAAAGTATACTCTCGAACTTTTTGTATACTTGAAGAAAACAAACATTTATTTTCTCACTCAAACTCTTCAAAATTCTTAGATAACGTGCAAAAATGCACGCATGCGCAAACGTTATTCCCTAGTGTCGACACAAACCCGAGCCGGGCGAACAGCTTATGAAATTCACAAATATTTCATTATTATTTTGGGACATTTTGAATTTATATGCTAATAAGATACACCCACTAGTGCTGTATCAGAACAATTCTTCGTTTGCACGTTACGTCATCGCGGCCATGTTGGTACCATTTAACAAAAGATTTCTCATTAGCATCCATTGTTAACGGTACCACAATGGCCGCCATGTTTTTGTCTTTTAACTCTGTTGGGAATGCTTGCAACCCATCAATATACATCTACTAGTGGCTGTATCTTTAGCAATTTCAGTGTAAAGTTTGTATTGGGATTGCATGATATTCATCCAGCTGAGCGGTGAATTTGTTTCAGCCAATCACAGCGCGTTTAGCTGTTTTGCCGCCGGCCCTCATTCCCAGGCTACTGTAACCCAACTTTTGCGTATTTTTCTRTTTTCTTTTGACTAAAATATAATTAACGTGGCTACAAAAAGCAGAAATATAGAAAGGTAGAATAACAACAATTTTGCTTTAACTCCATGCTTGCTTCGTTCTTCCAAGCTCCAAAAATACTTAGGGCCGGTCATTTTGTCCACTCATGCTTTGCACTCACCGCTCAGTTATATTCTTGGCTTTCACATTCCCATAATGCCTTGCGTTTTGGGGGGGGGGAGTAACCAATCAAAAAACTGTCCCAAATTGAAAGGTTTCTTAATTGAATTTATACTATACCTGCTTTTATCTGTACAATACTGATTATCAGTTTATTCCAAGTTATTTTTGCGTGTACAGATCATCAAGAGTTTTGGTCTTACAGAAAATGTATTGACTTACGAAAAAATTAGCCTGATCAGCCTTCAGCAAAATAAGTGGGTTTTTACTCTCTAGTTACCCCCAAAGACGTAAAGGATTATGGGGATGTGAAAGTCGAGAATATGTGACTTAATTTCTGAAGTTGGACTGACTTGAATCATTCCTTATTAATTCATAAAGTTTACACGTTTTTTTTTTGTTTTTTTTTTTCGCGGTTTTTTTATAGTAATGTTTATTAGCCATGAGTTTACTTATTGAACTGACCTTTTACAGTAATGGTTTTTGTGAGCCTTCTCTTGCTAGCTTTTCTTAGGAGATACTCCAAGTCGCACGTATATGTACCGCCCACATCACCTGAGCTAACATTTAAAACCAGAGTTTGATTTGATGAGGAAATAGAAAAAGAACTTTCGATTAGAACACTTTTATCTTTTGTCCAGGTAAACGTGCCGATGGTCGTCAATAGCGCGCCTCTGTCAGTGACGTTGACATTACAACTGAGTTGAATTCGATCCCCAAACTTTGCTGTTACATTACTAGAGGCGTGGACTTCATATAGCTTGCTTTCTGTTGGTAATAATGTAACGATCTGTCGTGATTTTAGGRTCCTACTGAAATCATCATCATTATCATCATGATTGGTATCATCATCGTCGTCACCATCATCATCAACATTATCAGCATTCGCTCATTCATTCATTCATCCATCCATCCATCCATCCATTCATTCATTCATTCATCCATCTATCCATCCATTCATCCATTCATTCGTTCATTCATTCGCTCATTCATTCATTCATCTATCCATCCATTCATCCATCCATCCATCCATCCATCCATCCATTCATTTATTCATTCATTCATTCATTCATTCATTCGCTCATTCATCCATCCATTCATTCATTCATTCATTCATTCGTTCATTCATTCGCTCTTTCATTCATTCATTCATTCATTCATTCATTCATTCATTCGCTCGTTCATTCATTCATTCATTTATTCATTCATTCATTCATTCATGCGTGCGTTTGTTCGTTCGTCCGTCCGTCCGTCCGTCCGTCATTCCTTTCGTCCCAACTGATATGCCCTCTCCATACAATTTATATACAGTACAAACATGATTTACTTAACATCATTGACATCATTGAGCAAAACAACCAACGGAAAGAACGCGCGCTCGTTGACGTCAGCTTTATCTGTCCGTCCTCTTATTAATGATAAAAAATAACCAATCATCGCGCGAGAAATTTATAAGTTATTGTAAAAATTAAAATTGACGAGAAAAAAAATTATAAAAAGAAAAACAGATCAAAATTTATCAAAATTCAAATTCAAGAGATTATAAGGTGGTAAGTAATGTTCCTACCGCTCGTGTTTGCACTGAGCTGCTTTCGAATTCTCCCAACCACATCTCGGTTTGCATTAGCGTGTGCAAACACAGTAAATGTATTTTATTTGTTAAGTGTTTTGGTAGCGAAAAATGATACATTAAAACAATATTATAAATCAATTGGGATACTACGCGCGCTATGATTGGTCGAAAACCATGTTTGATGAGAGTATCAAAACACGCTATCGTCATTTTAGCGCGCACGAGTATTGCAACTGTCAGTTTGCTCATTGGTCAGTTTGAATAAGACGGCACCTAGGGAGAATTTACTTAGRCTTTGCTTTTTTTCCCGATTTTTTCGCGCTTTTGTTATTTTATAACACAAATCTAAAAAAGCTTTCCGTGTTTGATACTCTGATCAAAACACGCGGGATATTGGGAGAACACGAGAGGAGCGTAGGAAACCACGACGCGTAGCGGAAAACTGAAAACTGTTTTTGATTTGTTACCCAACACACAAATAACCGCCATCCGCTGACCTAAGTAGGCCCGTTTTTGCACATAACTATCGACCGCTGGAGWATTGCTGGCGCATGCTGATAGTTATAAAATTATCAGTAGGTTCTCGACCAATGGGAATTCAGATAGTACATTTTAAGCAATTACTGAATGAGGWAACTATATAATTTTCTAATGCTTATAATTATGATTAGCTGAAGCCTCTTAGCCAATCAGAGGTAAGCAAAATGTATATAAATATTATTATCAAGGCCAAGGCTGACCTATCTGAATAATCTACATAAAATCGAGGCTAACCCTGAGAAACAACAGAGAAACTGGAGTATAGTCCCCCTCCCTGCCCTCCCCGGTCTAGCATTAGATGAATAACAAATAGTATGACTATAGTCCCCCTCCCTGCCCTCCCCGGTCTAGCATTAGGTGAATAACAAATAGTATGACTATAGTCCCCCTCCCT